ATCCGTAATTTCGCCATGTTGGAATTGTGTAGTCTGCTTTGTTTACTTTAAGATATACATGCACTCATGACACTTACTTGAGAACTTGAGTGGTGTAATAAATTAATATTTACAATATGCCATCGTGGTCACTTATATATAAATATTTTTACACGAATGAATAAACAGTCTAACATTTTTCTATCGTATGTACGGTATGCTCTGTACATTTCACTCAAGATAGTTACAAGACAAAGGCAGAACACTAAATCGTCCCTGGTGATATAAATATATTCGTTTTATCCAAATCAGCTGTTCCAACAATAAAATTAGATTCCATATACGGACAGGAGACGCTGTATTTTTTTACAGGATTTTTATTTATCTAGGAAATAATTTAATCTCACGTAGTAATCTCAGATGTGCAACTAAAAAAAAAGTACAGCGTGAAGCCTCACTGAATACAGCAGCCTTTAAAACATTGACAGCTCTGTGATTTTTTAACTATTGTTGTCCATAAGTAATGATCCCTTTAAAAATATTTCTAATAGTAGAGTTAATTTCTTATCAATTTTTTAATTTTTATTTATTTTTGTTATTGCATTGCGGGCTGTTTATATTTTTTTAACCAGATAAGAACAATCAAAATTAACCATAATTCATTAATTAAAAAAAAAATTACAATAGACTCATTGATGATTTTTTTACCATAAATACGTACATGACTTACTTCAAATAATTTCTTTCTTAAACCCGGCAATAATTAATTTTTATTGTCTCATCACTATTCGGAATAACTGTCAAATGATGTTTTCTTATTTTCAGCAACAATTTTTAAGCATATAATTTTTAACATTGTAATGTAAGCTAAAACCTTTTTGAAACCATTGACAATCACATATTTTTAAAATACCGCTACATTTGGATTGGCTCAAATCCCAAGATGGACGCTGTGCGGATGAGGCACGCTATTGGAGAAACTCGGACTCATCGGAAAATTGCGCCGTCAGCCATCACACGATCACACACCTTATCTACTTACATCATGCTCTCCATGTGACCGCAGCCTAAGGGCTTGGGCACATGGAACAGCGAAAAGCGTAAAGTGTATCGCGTATCGGCGTATGGCGTAAAATTATAGGATCAGGGAAAATTAGGTAAGGTACGCTTTACGCGAAAATATTTGTCATCGCGCACATGGGAGTAAATAATACGCGAGTAAGAGTTTTTAAACCAATCACAGCGAGTATTCCGTTGGCTTTGCACATGCTGTCTCGCTCGCAGTCATGGCAAAAATAAAATTACGCCCATATTTTTGTACCCATGAGCGCGATGACAATTAATTTTTTCGCGTATAGCGTAAAGTATACAACCTGTAAATACAGTCAGCATTTAATGTCAACAACAACAATTACAGTATCAATTGTAATTAATTGTATTTCTGACATAGATGAAAAATAAATCGTAAGAACTTGGGGCAAATTGTGGAAAGTCTATACGTCCTATGCAATGACCCAATATTGCAAAAAAAAGGTGAGAAGTGTAATGATTAAACTGTATGAAATGTATTATCGGCTCTCAAATAAAAAGAAAAAAAGAAGTATATACTTGAAAACTTTTTTTTCACTGTACGCAGGTTAGAATTCACTTGCGTTGGGAACTTCGAAAGCTTTTTTTAATGACAAGACAGCAGATTGGTCAACTCCCCTCTACTTCACACTTACGCGATACGCGAGGCTTTTACGTCTTTTCTATGTGACCACAAAGTGTTGTATGCCTAACCTTCCTTACTTTTACGCGATACGCGATACGCGATACGCTTTACGCGGTTCCATGTGCCCGAGCCCTATGGTGTGCTAATTGGGTCCACATAATTCCACTTTTGTCCTCATAATACCCCTTATATACACCTGATTGTTCGAATAAGTCACTATATATATACAATTTCAATTGAGCGCTGATTATGACGTCATACAGGCTCCTTCTATGATGTAAAAATATAAGGTGTGGCGTTGCACATCCATTTTGATTGACCAATCAGGAACGCTTCCATCGCGCCGCCATGTCTGTCTGCGAATTTCAAAAGCTTTTAAAATATAATGCATATTAACATCAAGAAACTCGTGAAACAATACATACTTTTTATTTCAATATTTTTATTACCCTATCTCGAGGATCCATTTAGATTACCACGTGGATACTCCATGTGGACTTCCATGTGGAAATCTATGTGTATTTTTTACATGGAGTTGAAGGTGAATTATCCTCATAGAAACCTACGTAGATTGTCCACGTAGTAATTTTAACGAATTTTTTTATAAGAAAAGTCAGTGGTTCTCATTCGTTTATTATTGCATGAATTTGCCACGCGGAAATCTACATGAATATTTGTTTAATACGTTTGGATTGTTAAAATAATTACCTAAATTCATTCTTTTGGAAATCTACCTATATTATTTACGTGAATATTTACAGGTATACTTTTTATTTAAAAATCCCAATTATTTACGATGAACTGCACATAGTCTTTTACACTTCAAAATTTGCAGGTTCTTTATACATTAAATTTGACACAGGTATTTTTAATTAGTATCTGTAAGTGTTTCTCACGATGAAATAGACATGTACGTTCTGTACGTAGATTTTAAGCGTTTATTTTTAGTGCGAACAGTTAAGTTAAGCACCAATCCATATGATAATTGTGTAAATTTCTTGCGATACATCAATGTCAATTTAACGTATAATCAGATGCATACTTAAACAAATTTTCAATTAGCCTATATAAATAACATGTATGATTTACATTGTGTATAAGTTTGCACTATTAAGAAAATTGAGAGTTCCGCTCATATTACTGAATATTTACTTATGTTGATTTGACATTTTTTTACATTCCAGTGGATGAAATACCCTTGTTTAATGCACGTGGTAAAGGCCTGAAACCATCAAAACTGTAACAAAATGCTTTAGAACTTTCTCGAATCAGCTGATTAACTAAGCGGTGTATACATGTCTGAATACACGGTTGGTTAGTTACGTATGGGAGGGAATGGATATGAATAACCTAAAAGCTGACTGAAATATCGTTTTTAAATATGGTTCATACGGAAGATTACTTTTAATTATCCATGCCTTGATACTCTGTTGAAAAAAACCATGTCAGAAAACCAAATAATAAACCTGCATAATTTCATGTGCCCGCATAAAATCTACGTAGAATTATGATGTGCAGAGAACTATGCACATTTCTGTCATAAAAAGTTAATTCAATTTTTCGTATAAGAAAACAAAAAAAAATATATACATAGATAAAAGGTGTATGTAGATTTAAAACGAAATAAATGTAGGTGAGCGCAATCCACGCGTATTAAACGTGGAAAATTGATGTATGGTCTCAGATAAAAAATCCATGTGGAATTTCAAATGTCCAATGGAAAATCAATGTAGGTGGCCTTGTAAAACATACATGTAATTTTTGCGTGAAAAATCCGTGCAGTACTAAACAGAGAAGAATCACTGATTTTTCTTACAAAAAATTCATCAAAATTACTATGTGGACAATCCACGTAAATTTTCATAAGGACAATCCACATTCAACTCGATGTAGAAAATCTACATGAATTTCCACGGAGAATTCATATTGATCCATAAAGAATCCACATAGAAGTCCACGTGGAAAATCCACGTCGAAATCTACATGGATCCTTGAGATGGGATCCAGTTGTTTCAGTGACCAAACATACAATTCGTGAATATTTACACAGACAAAACTGACTAAATAGGTAATTATTAATCAATTAACGTTTATGTATATTCATACGTATGTCTAAATCTATATAAATGTCTCATTTCGAGGTGGATGCGGGGGATAGGTTTTAGTCTTAACTTTGGCCACTTCGTTTTATTGTATTGGCTCTTTAGTGCTGTAGTAGTAACATCTTCCTCAAATATGGCATCGTGATGATGGAAGGTACAGAACGGCACGACAATAAGACCTCGGAACGCCACACCTTGTATTTTTACATCATCGTGCTTACCTTGTTTTATTGTACCATGCAATGGGTGTAATCCGCAATCGCCGCCAGCAGTTACATATGTAAGACGTGACAACGTTGCGTGGTTGGGGGCGCTACTGTCGATTTACTAGTGATGTGATCCGCAATCCCGCCAGCAGTAAAGCAGACGACGTCAGTCTACTTGGTCTTTTTCGTGACATTTTTGCTGGGATCCCGCGCAATCCCGCCAGCAGTAAAGCTGTTATTTCTATTTTTGCTGTGATCCCGTGCAATTCCGCCAGCAGTAAAGCTGTTATTTCCATTTTTGCTGTGATCCCACGCAATCCCGCCAGCAGTAAAGCTGTTATTTCCATTTTTGTTTTTGGCACTTGAAACTATTTTTTTTGGTCTGCGTGTTTGTTTACGTCTAGCACAATTTGCTTTGTTTACATTGAGAAAATGTCACGAAAAACAGCAAGTAGACTGACGTCGTCTGCTTTACTGCTGGCGGGATTGGGATTGCGGATCACATCACCAGTAAATCGACAGTAGCGCCCCTAACCACGCAACGTTGTCACGTCTTACACATGTAACTGCTGGCGGCGATTGCGGATTACACCCAATCTATACTTACATCTCTACAGGTTTGCTTACGCCGCCCCTTGGTTCGGTTCAGTTTGGTCGGTTCTAGAATCTAGGTTCTAGGTTCTAGGTTCTAGGACGAAAAAACCCTAGACATATCAAGAAAAATAGACTACTCGTTCTGATGTACGGCGCTGAAGCATCAAGTACAAGGAGACACAATAACATTAAACGTACATATCTGTCTCTCTCGCACATCGTGAAAAGGTAGGAAAGTGTGAGAGAGACAGATTTTCACGTTCGATGTTGTGTTTTCTTCTACTTGTGCTTCAGCGCCGTACTTAAGAACGAGCAGTCTATTTTCCTTATACGTCTATGTAAAAAACATGAAAAAACACGCGTTCACGAGAGTTGGTTTTAGAACCCCAAGTTCGACGCGGTCGGTTCTAGAACCAAACTCTCGTTAACGCGTGTTTTTTTTGTTTTTTGATCCCAGAACCTACCGAACCGAACCCAGTGGGAGCTTTAACGAACCTTCTGTATTCGTCTTAGAATGAGAGTGGAAACTCTTCAAAAGCTTAAAGAATTTTTTTTCTCAATACCTTTATTATTAAAACGTATTTGAAATTTATCGACGTTAATTTACGAAATAACGTTGAATAAAGTATAATCAATGGAGTTAGACGATGAAGGGTCAGCTCCAAGTTATTCAAGTAGCTCAGACAGTAGTACTGAGGAAGATATTGAAATTATAGATAATTACGAGATTGAAAAATTTGCAGGAAATAAAAAAGACAAAAAAAATAGTGCGATTAATGAGGTTGATAAAAAGGAAAAAGTTTATTTGCCTGGAACCCAATTAGAAGAAGGTGAAGAGTTAGTGGCAGATAAATCTGCTTATTGCATGCTTCACCAAGCACAGACTGAAGCACCATGCCTTAGTTTTGATGTAATTAAAGACAGATTTGGAGATTTGAGAGAAAAATACCCTCTATCCATGTATTTGCTGGCTGGTACTCAAGCAGCCAGAACGAACGTAAACAATTTACTAGTAATAAAAATGTACAATCTTCATGGCAAAAAATTGAAAAACCCTGACTCTGATTCTGATGAAAGTATAAAGTATGATTCTGAAGAAAGCAGTGAACAAAACGAAGATGAAGAAGCCAAATTTCCTAAAATGAGGGTTGCTTCAATCAAACATCAAGGATGTGTTAATAGAGTTAGGTAAGAAGTAGAAGTGTATGATTATTTGAAATATTTCATTTAAACGAGTGAATGCATTATTTTATAGCCCAGAAATACACTGATATACATATTCTTGAAAACGAATGCTTTAATTACTGCTAATTAGAAAGGTTTCATTCCATGCGAGGAGGTTAATTTTCTTAGTCGGTAGGTACATCAGGGGACACTACCTCCAGATAAATCGCGGTATTTCTGAAAAATTTTCCTTGCTTCTTCAAACACACATCATACAATAAATTAAATTTTTTAATTAAGGTGGCGCATGCGTGAGTCTGAGGTCAATATGATGTACAAAAAAAGTAAAGCAAAGAAGGTTTATATTATAAACAAATTTATACCTAAAAAATAATATTTAAAAAATGGTGATTTTTGACACTCCTAAAGTTATAAAATAATAGGTATGTATAAATTTACACGAGTAAGATAATAGTTTCGCCCGTGACTCGCAGTGTGTGCTGACCGGAAACTCTTGTTGTCTGCGGAATTGCTGATGGGTGCATATGTGAAGTGCTATGTACTGTAATCCAATCTAGTCATCTGTACATATAAAAGCTGCCTTGGTTCTATGCAGAGATTTACATGTTTTTATTTAACTTTAAATATTTTGTTTCAATATTATTCTTGTGAGAGACTAAGCCTTTGTCAACGTTTATAAATTATAAGCAAAGAGGAAAATAAACGTGTTGAACATGGATCGTTATACATTATTTCTCATAACTGGTAATACTTAACTTCAAATTATTACATGGAGTAACTTATCATCATAAAATTGCAAATATTTACAAGAGAGAAATGTACCAAAGAATTGTATTGGGAATTTTCGATAGAAAGGTACATCATATGATCGTTCACGTATTTGAATTTCGTGCCATATCAATTTGGGCGAACATCTGGAGTGCTAAACTTTGCTTTGAGGGGAATGCCGTCCCGTCTTGCATCACTAGACTTCATGTGTGTATACTTATGTGTGCTTTATTTATACTCTGCCTGGCAAATCATAATAGCCAGTTACTTGAAAAGTTATTTTCAATGACGTAAAAGCAAATTTATAAGACAAAAGCTATATTTATTTATGTTATAAATTAGCTTAAATACTGGCTTTCAAAAGTTTTTGTAGAGCTAAGGGAGCCTGTACATGAGAGACTTGCACTTGCAG